CCAGAGCGGAGGGCTTTAAGTGTGGCAGCGACAGCACCAAGGCTGTGATCAGGTGAGTCCATCAACACTCTGGTTCCTACACGACTGACACATATGTTGTGTTACACCAACTCCTCTGACTTCAGCTAGTGTGTGTCTTTCTGCTCTCTTTGTGCGTCTGCCGCTGCTGTGTGGATCTCGGTATGTGGTCTTCTTGTTGCTGGTCTTCTGTCTCTGCTAGTCCGTTGTGATCTTCTTCTGCACCTTTCTGGGTGTCTGTCTTTGTGATCTGTTTGTGTCTCGTGTTGTGTGTTGTGTTTGTTGTGGGTGATTTTGTGTCTTTGCTGCTCTTTTATCAGTTCGGCTTCAGTGTCTTGCTCAAGGACACCTGTGGAGGAAACCGAACCAGCAGCTCTGGGATCAGTGCTGTGCTCCTCCAGAAATGCTGCATTAATCCTGACAGGCTGCTCATGTGGAGCTTCTCTGGAGGATTCAGACTCACAGCGGAGCAGCTTGGTTTCATGTTCATGTGTCTGTCCTCCAGAGCCGACGTTCTGATCCCACTGATGGACATCAGCCTGTGAGATCAGCTGTCTCTGATTCTTCAGGCTGAAACAATAGCGCTGGCAGACTCAGTGGATTCATCATCAGGTTAATTATCTGATAGCGATCAGCGTGTTTCTGATGGAAACTGAGAATAAAAATAGAGCCGAGAGACGCACGAGACGCTGTGTGGCTCCTTTCCTGCAGTTTCCATGACAACAGCAGGACCAGGATGTTAGTGTCTGTTCAGCTCTGACAGGAATGTGCTTCCATCAAACACACAGTCAGGGTTCCCTGCTGGGTTCCACACAGAACCTTCTACTGAATGTCTCCTGTTTCATGTAATAAGCTTTGATTTGATGAGTTCTGTCATTTCTCAGTTGCAACAAAAACCCTAAAAACCTCAAATCTTAAAATCCTCCACATGTTGCTGTTGTTTGAAGCAGATGTTCTCTCTCCTCAGTCCTGATAGCTGCTATCTGGCGGCCGGATCAGCAGATGGCGCTGTTTACATCTGGAACGTCTCCACTGGCAACCTGGAGACCCGCCTCCCTGACAAACACAGGTAACGGATCAGCTGATCAATAGAGGCTCAAGGACGCTTCCCTGAGGAACTCCAGGCGTTCAATAATCACAGAGAACAAGTAGATTTACTTCCTTTTTCAATACTTTAATAGTGTTTTACTAAATATTTAAATGTCAGAGTCCTTTAGCTCTGTCAGATTAAACCTCATAGGTCCCTTCACAACTCTGCAAACACAAGAGACTTTCACAAATGTTTCATTGATTGTATTAAATATAAAACATATTTTTGCTGACTAATGCACTTGTGGTTATTTTGCACCTTTTAATGATAGAAATCGGAAACATCAGCTGTCTGTAGAGCAAAGCAGAAAACATGTAAACATGACACAGACGGCGTAAAAACCTCCAAATCAGGAGTGATGAGAACTAGATGTGTTGCTATGGAAGACATCAAGGCTGTAACAGTCTTTCTGGATTATTCCTGGAGAAGCGTGGACGTCTGTTTCGAGCTCATACACGTCTTCTGGGCGTCTTGATTAGATCTGATCCACCGTGTTGTTATGAATGATGTTTCTGATGCGTGTAGATGTCCGACCTTAACCTCCGTCTGTCCTCCAGCTCGTCCATCAGCGCCGTGTCCTGGTCGCTGTCCGGCGAGTACGTCGTCAGCGTGGACAAGAGCAGGCGGGCCGTCCTCTGGAGCGACATCTGAGACGGCCAATCGCGAGAGGAGGCCTCGTCGTCACGGCAACAGCTGTTGAAGGGAACATTCAGAGTTTTTTAAGCTGATTTTTGTTTTTATTGGATTTAAGGGAAACTTTCTGCTTGATGTCTTTTTTGGGGGTTAATGAGGAGCATTAACGCAGATATTAACGAGGAAAAGCATGAAGCTTTCTAAATATGAGACCAGTGTGAAGGCAACGAAGGGAAACGTCTGTTTTATACTTTATCACCAGACCAACGAATCCAGACTTAATGGGACAATACCAGCAGCTGTAGTTCATACGTTGGAGTTTGACATCGTCCTCATGGACCCCTCTGTGGACGTCTGTCCATGTGGCGTCTCCACGGCTGTAGTGAGCATGTGCAGAACATGGCGAGTCCTCAGAGAAAGCAGGAAACGTAAAAAGAACGCAGGTTTAACTGATGTATGCGTGAAGATTCAAAGGAGACATTCTGGACTTTGGTGTCGTCTTTTTAATCGTCTCTGGTTTGAACCGAGTCTTCAGTCCTGTCCGGTGTTCTGACCTCTGGATGGAAGCTCCTCCACACACTCACACTCGGATCGAATCCAGTTCATCGATCCGGCAGGTTCAGAGGACAGAATCAGCAGGACAGGATACGACCTGGAAAACCCAACATCATCCATCCAACCATATAAGAAACGGGACAAAGGACCAAGAACAAAGCAGCGCATCTCTAGAACCAAACAGAACTGAACCATCGACACCACTGAGAGCAATGAGCGTCATTAGAACACGTCCATCTGGAGATGTTTCATAGGAGCATTAATGGAGGAGGAACATCTGACTGGAAGAGGGGCTGCAGGAACCCGGAGCAGGTTCATCGGTTCTGTCAGTCTTTCTGGTTCCGCTGCAGATCCAACAGCTTCCACATTAACCTCCAGAACCAACAGTTCCTGGACAGAACCCAGTTCTACCTAGGAAACGGAACCATGGAGGTTTGTTCTGTTGGAACATCTGGAGAACTTTACGTTGTTGATGTTGGAGAAGCTGCTGGACGTCAGAGGACAACCAATCAGCTTCCAGACATGGAGGAACACATCAGTGAAAGAGGTTCTCCGGCAGTGGTTCCTGGTCTTCAGTTGGAGCGCCTCCTAAACGTTCTGAGATAGAAGTTCCTGTTGGGTCCAGAGAGGAAAGGAGTTCTCTGGTAGTGGAACTCACTGACCTGTAACAGAACTTGTAGCTGTTCTGCCTCAAAGTTCCACTTAAATCAAGTTCAGGTCCAAGAACGTTTCATGAAGAAGTAAATGAAGAAACACCAGCAGTCCTGCTGTTGGCTCTCAGTTACGTTCCTGTGATCCGGCCCTGCAGGTCGGGGACCACCTCCACCTGACAGGTTCTCCAGGTTCCTGTGGTTCCTGAGCATCACGTTGCTCTCCACTGACTGGTTCTGAAGAGTTTCAGTCATCTACAGTGGATTTACTGAATCTCAGTGATTTACATCCACAGCTTCTTCTGCAGCCTGCTGGTGATGCCAATAAAGGCCAGTTCAGTGTCTTTATCAACCAGCAGCGCCCCCTGCTGGCAGGACTGTCTACAGTCTGCTTCCATGTAAACGAGATTCTCGTTAACTCAAACTAAAGTTTATATCTCACAATTATAAACTACAAACATGCCAAATTAGGATCATCTTCATCAGTTAAACGCTGCTTCCTGATGCAGCCGAGGACACCGAGACCCGCTGGCATCAGATCCAGCTGCAGTGAGCCGGGTTCTGTTTCACCAGAGAGACGTTCAGGGAGAAAAACTGGAACCTGGATCCAAAAGTCACAAAGTTCACCAGCAGAGCAGCAGAAATGATAGAAACTGAGATGAAAACGTTACCTGTGTTGCCTTGGTTACCTGGGTTGCCTGTGTTGCCTTGGTTACCTGGGTTACCTGTGTTGCCTTGGTTACCTGTGTTGCCTTGGTTAC